AGTGAAACAATTCCAGTGAGACAACTCGTGATTTAGTGAAACAACTCCTATGGTAAAGCGTAGAACTGTGGATTTTGAAGTGATCCTTTGTTGCTAGTTCAACTCCAACTCGAAAGTTAAAGTTTTTTAGATTTCTCTAAATATTTCATATTAATTATAGTAACTTCTTCAACAGTAGTATTGCTCCTTCCATAATTCAGTTGGTAGATCATGGGATTGTAGATATCTTGAATTGTCAACCCATAGTCGTTGGCTCAACTCCGACTCAAAGAATTTGTTTATATCTTGAAAAACATTTACTGTCATCTATTGAAACAATTCTTCGATAGCTCATACGGTAAAGCGTGGAACAGTAAATGTTGAAATTCATCCCTCGTTCATAGGTTCAACTGTTATTCCAAGGATTAGGTTTTTATATATTTGTAAATATTTCATGTAAATTCTAGTAAATTTTTAAGCAGAAGTACTGCTTTTTCAGTACCTCTGTGCATGGGACTGTAGTTATCTCAAGTGGTTCTCTTTTGGTCATTGGTTAAACTCTGACTTAAAGGCAAAGTTTTTACATATTTGTAAATAGTTTATGTTAATTCTAGTAACTTACCATGCATAGGTATTACCCTTTGATAGCTCATTTGGTAGAGCAAGCGACTGTAGATAACCCAAATGGTCATACCCTGAACGTCGGGTCAACCCCGACTCAAAGGATGAGGAAAATGTTAATATTTTGGAAACGTTTACTGCCATCCCATGAACTTATACCTACAGATGACGTGTTCTCTCAATAGCTCAGATACTAAGGCATGGGACTGTGGATTTTGTAGTGATCCTTTGGTTGTTGGTATGATGCCAACTCGAAGAATAAAGTTTTTTTTACTAATTTGTAAATATTTAATGTTAATTCTAGTAATTTTTAAGACAAATGTATTTTTCGTTCGATAGCTCATTTGGTAGAGCATGGGACTGTTGATATCGTAAATGGCCATCCCGTGGTCGATGGCTCAAATCTGACTCGAATAAGGATGAATTTGTTTATATTTTGAAAAACTTTTACTGTGACCTAATGAAGTAATTCCTACATGATAAGTGTGCCTTTGATAGCTCTTATTGTAGAATCTGAGACTGTAATTATTCAAAGTGATCTCTTGTTCATTGGTTCAACTGACAATAATGACAAAATATGTGTTCTCACAATAGCTCAGATGCTAAAATATGGGACTGTGAATTTTGAAATGATCATTTGGTCGTTGCTTCAACTCTGGCTCAAATGATAACGTTTTTTAGATGTTTGTAAAGATTTTGTGTTAATTCTAGTAACTTTCCAGGAAGATTCGCTACTCCTTCGAAAGCTCAGTTAGTAGAGCATGAGGCTGTAGATAACGGACATGGTCATCTCGTGGTCGTTGATACAACTCCTACTCGAAGGATGAAGAGGTTGTTCATATTTTGGAAATATTTAATGTCACCCCAACTGCACCAGAGCACTGTATTTATAAGAGTTGAGACACGTATTGTTCTATGAATTTCACATTATGACCATGGTGATTGGGTAAATATGGTCAGATGGGTATCTAGCCGCAATTTTTGTTTTAATGATGAATAAGAAAATATAACAGAAAACTTGTCTTTCCCCCATTTAATGCTGTACATTGGCTGGCTTTTGGAGCAAAATTGGATGACACTAGACAAATTTACTTCTGGTGCACCGACTCTTTCGTATTTAGGTCTCTGAACTGCACACCTCTTCATTGTTTTAAAGCTTTCCATCTTTTTCGAACGTACACAGCGCACGGTAGTGTGGTTAGTAATAATATAATAATAATTTAATCATATTTCAACAGATCAACTTGCATCAGCATGTAATAATACTGTGAGCATAATCAAAGACCTGCGTTTATATTTTCCACTAGTAATTCTAATTAATATCTACAAACCAATAAAACTATTTTATAGACCTAAAAGGTAAGGCTATTTAAAACTATAACGAAGATAACGCTACAATGACCAATAGATAGCTAATTGAAAGCTTTGGCCCATAAAATGCAAATATTTGTCCTCCGACAGTGTTACTGCAATAAAGACAAGAGTTTGCTCCAATTTTCTCGTGAAATCATTTACATTTTATGCAGTGTTTCTTTCTAACGACAAACAAAATATGCTTAATGTCATTCATTGCCATGCATCTTGTCAATCATGGTAATTACGCACGTATCTATTTTTAATTGTTCGCAATTGTTCGGAGTTTTTAATTTAGCTACAATTCAAATAACTAAAATATTTTCGTCGCCATACATAGTGAAAACTACATTCGACTATACCATTCACTACATTTGACTACATTCGACTCCATATTCTCCAATGAACTGATAACTTTTCTAATGTCTTTTGTAGTATCAGGACTTTTCAATGTTACCTTTACACTTTTCGACATTTTTTCATTCTCCTGCCCAGAGAAACTAGGAAAAAAACTATGTGCTTTTGTAAAAGCTTTCGCAATGAGTGTTTAGCGTGTATGTTCATTAAGAATATTTTAGTTAAATAAATTTAGACCTACCTTGTTCAACGTTGTGATCAATTTTCCCAGGAGGTATATTGCATTTGTCATGTGGTAAATCACGTGGCTACTTAAAAAACTAACATTTATAACATACTAAACCAACATTTACTAAACGCTTTAACAGCTAAAAAAATTTGTATTTGGAAATTTTCCAATCATTTTTCACCATTTTATTCACAGTTTGAATGACAAACTTTTGAAATAATGTTCGAAATGGCGATTGTTTTCGAAATGTCAACTTCTATCAAATGAAAACTTTTTCAAATGTCGTCTCCTATGAAATAAGAGCAATTCCAAAGGAATGAGCGAATTTTTGATTACATATGATTACATTCGACTACTATCTACATTCGATTAGATTGACTTCATTGATTACATTCGGTTGTAACATAACTAGTTTTAAAAATTTTATCTCATATGAAATGACGTTATTAAATGTCGCGAAATGTTTGTTTGGATAAACTAAGAAAAATCGTGGAGTAGTAAAGTGAGATTCAGCAATGTAATATGGTGTGAGGCAATGATAAAATGAATAAATTGCACAGAATGCCATTGTTCGACATGTAGATTGAACAGCAAATCATTTCCTTTATAGCTCCTGGCTTAACCTGCTTTGTCTGACCTTCAATGCACGATATCTTTGGTTCGTCTCGTTGTCAGTGTTTGTATGGGTTATAGTTTTAGGTTTGAGGGCAAGGTTTAAGGTTAGGATGGAGTTTAAGGGCGTTTTTTTGCCCTGAGGTTCTTGACTAAAAAAATGAGTCCCTTCGGGGAGTCAAAGAAAAAATTAAGCAAAAGACTTAGTTTTTTAGGTCAAATTTTTTATACTAAGTGTCGCTTTCCATTCCCGATTGTTCAGCAAGAGAAATGCTATTTGCACACTCTTTTTACAGCAGTATCGACCTCATAGCCGCTTACTTCATCATCCTAATCATTACACACTTGTTTAATGTAATTTAAACTCTCGACACACCAAGCCTAACAACAACCGACCCTTGAAAATTAGAACCTGACACCTCTATCTGAATATCCTGCATCTATTCACTAGACCAGTTAGAGCGTTAAAGACAATATATTTTATTTAAGACAGCGTGTTTTTGAGTATACGAAGAAAAAATAAACATTGTTTGAAGGCACTATAATATTGAACAAACTAAGCTTTCATAGCATTAATTTATAAAACATTAACATTTTCACTAGAACGTAAGACATAAATCAGAAAGCATCTAGTTGCCAGAAATAATCGTTACTATCAGTTTTGTCACACACAAAAATACATAAATACATTCTGCGCATGAGATCTATTTTCATGCATGATATCAAAACAAATGTATCTGTAGGATAGAGATCTATCATCATGCAGTAAAATATGATGTTAAGGCGGATAAATAGGAATTAGGAGCGAGGCTAGCTGAATGAAAATAGGATCTCCACGTCAATTTCATTAGTTCGGTAGGTTGCTTTTGTATACGTTGTTGGACCATAACTTTGTTTAATTAACGATTTTTTACTTCCAACCAAACACCGTCAAAAATCAGCCAAAATTATTACATATGGTAATCATATAACAAATTATAAAAAAGAAGAGCCAACTAAGAATTTTAAAGAAAATATGTGAATTCAATCAACTTATAAACGAATAAAGCTCACTTAAATATCACAATCGGAAGAACAGTCTTTGTACATTGAATTGCATACCCGGACAAGTCTTTATATATAGTCATGAAGCTTTTGACTATAAAAAACTAACAATTCTTTATCTTAAGGAGTAGAAGCACTTGATTCGAAATGCGTCATTCTTGAATTCTTATTGCATAAATTTTTAGAGAGCTAAAGTTTTGATTCCGTGAAGTTTTGTTTTCGGATTGCTTTGCAGAGTCAGTCACTTTACGATGTCTTAATAACGTGTTCGGTTAATTTGTGTAAGTGAAATTTCGAGAGGTATATTTTTCATAGTATGTAAATATCATCATTAGGATATCAAATTGCATTGTAGCTTTACAAAACGTCAGTGTTCCAGCACTAAATTTTTTTTTTAAATTTTAAAACTGTAGAACTTTATAATACTCATATTACTTCACACATGTATTCATAAAACTGACGTACTTGTGAAAAAATGCTTTAAACATTTTAAAAATTTATGCTCTATCAGTGTAGTTTTACAAATTGCTGTCATAGAGACAATGAGCATACTCTCGATAATAATGTTCAACATAAATAAACAAGAATTATCAAGTCATATGATCTCCTTCAAAATTTATTCAGAGAAGTGTGTGGCTATAGTTCATGTCATAAATTCTTTAAGTCAGATGTATTTTTTTGTGATCGAAAGATATCACTGACTAGAGTGTGTTGATTTTGGAAGAGAAGAAAGCAAACGACATTAAAGCTAAGGGATCAATTCACACTGTATTTAATTTTTAAAAAAAATGTTTTCGTAAACAATGTCTACTTCATGTTTTCGTAAACAATGTCTACTTCAATTCATGTTGAATTCACTCAACAGTTATTATATATTGTCATTGCGTCTGTTCCTTGAAGATGTGTATGCTGTTTGATCATAAGGAAGCCACTAAATTGTTCTGAAATTGCTGAAATGATTTGTAAAGGTATTTACAAAACTTTGAAACATCTGTCCTATTCTGTCCACTGAAAATGTTGAATTTACTGCAAGAATATTGACCGTTGTTTGTTAAGGGGAAAACAGTGGCGTAGCTAGCCCTCAAGTTTCAGCCGTGCTATGCAAAACGAGTGACCTCAATATCATTTTAATTTCTTAAGGAATCTATTGCTTTTGCAGTGAATGTAAACAGAGAAAAATTACCATAGCAGGACTAAGTAAGAGCACTGGCTACGCCAATGATAACAAATGCAAAGTAAAAGTATTCCATAGAGTTTCATACTGATTAGAAAATTCTGTTAAATGAATAAAAAGCCTGATTATGACGATTAATTTCTTTGGAAAGATTTTGACCTCTTAATTATGCTGAGATCAAATGCTGTCATATTTTTGGACGTTTAGAAACATGTCAATAAAATAGCAATGCCTACCAATCACTTGCATGCTGCGAAGATCGTAATGAAAAAACAACAACAGAATTTGAGAAGCCTCCAAGGAAAACACTTCGGTTACAAGTCGTCAATATGGCGTGTTGCGAACACTATTTGAAAAGTTTTAAAACTCCGAAATCGGTTTTAGCTAATATATTTAACAATGTTCCCGTTTCATTTTCTATAATAGTGTTAACAACCGCATCGATGAGCACTTTTTAGTAGCGCATTTATTGTTGATGACGTTCATGTTATTCCGTCAGTAAAATATCCGACGTCACAGCAACTAGCTTCGTATATTGAATCGCTGAGGAATAGGGTCATCCTAAGTTCACCTGCGCGTCAAACGTCGATGACATCAATGGCATTTTGTAGTTTAAAGATTTATTTGAGTGTTTACAGTTTTTATATCTCACACTAACGCAGATTCCTTCATCAACACTAACCAGAGAGTTGGATCCACCGAATCCATTTGAGTTTACAAACGCTGTCAAAAAAAATCCGTACGTGTGTTGAAGTGGCATCCAGGAAAAATAAAAAGGATGACGTCAATTGTAAAAAATGTTTAATAGCAGTTTGTAATATAAAAATCAAAAATCAAAAGAAGCATGGCATGGCTCAACGAAATTTACTTAATCTTTGATTGCTTGTTTTTGGATTTGTCACTTTTCAGTCATTGATAGGTCTCAGATATAAGAACATGATTCTCATGTCTTACAGTTTGACTGCAGGCTATGTAAATTAGTAAAATTATGTCAAGCTGAAAATTTTTGAGTTCTTACTTGTCGCGCTGTTAACCAAATATCAACAATATAATTTATCCGAGTTTGAAAGATAATACATGATAGTGTTTCTATTTGTATTTCATGAAAGCCAACATCAGTAGTTTAAGCAAGAACTTGGTATGTGAGTCACACGATGCGTAGGTATTCGCGTACATGTAAGAATCTTTGTACTTACTCATTAGGTAAATATTACTATATCCTTTGCTGAAACTGTCGTAGTGCTCTATTCGCGTGACTTCGGCCTTTTGCAAGTCAAGGTGTTCCTGTTACGTGATCCCAAATTTATTAAGCGCTTGTTAAATATACGTATATAAATATAATTAGGTTGTGTAAAAAATCTTACGGAAAAAACACAGAATTTCAAACGTCATAAAAAATACAAAATAAAAAAGGCAAAAAAAAAGATGAAAATTATGCACAAATTCGCATGAACATTTGTATAATATAGTCGAATGAAATACAGCAATTTACATGAAAGACGATCATTTAAAAGCTTAACATATGTTCTTTTGGTTAACAATTTAAAAAGTCTACGAAGAAAATATTTAACGGACATTCGTCATTCATGGGCTGATACGTGCTTCTTGTAAAAGGAAGAAAATTTTTTTTGGAGGCGTGTTCTTATAACGTCAATTTTTCGCAGCACTGAAAATTTTTTTGGCAATAAATTGCTGTTGATTTGCGTCATATACAACATCATAAAAACTACTGTCGTTGAAGAAAATTTATCATTACAGCGTCAATGGCAAGGGACTGTTCCTATTGAAAACCTTGATCATTGAATGAACGGTAAGAGATATTTTTATGAATATAGCCGTTGTAATTGTCTGTACTTTCTTATGTTTTACAGACAATAAATATTATTAAACATAGATCAACACATTTTTTCCTTTCATTTTTTTGGGGAGGAGGGAGGGAGGTGTGAGAGACATTATTTTCCGTTGCTGATCACATAAAGATTTTATAAACGACAACAATATATTATCTCACGAGCACCACAAAAGAACAAATGTGAAAATTTGATAAAATCCGCTTCCCACAGTCGAACTATACGTGCCACAGTTAAGAATAACATAAAAAGTTGAGCATGTATGAAGAAATTTTCACTTTAGTGTACCGTGTACAAACGTCGTTTCTGATTTCTATTTTCCTATCAATACTATGCCGAGGACTTAAGTGATATGCCTGACTGTTTTTTAGAGGTTTAAGTTTTCTTTCCTACAACCAAGTGACATAGCCCACAGTTTGGTCGTACCATGTCTATATTTCATTCTTCTCTCATAAAACAATAAATCACTATAAAAATGAATCTGAAATATTAATCTGAAATAAACGCCGCGCTATCAAAGTTTTTGGAGGCTCTCGCCATGGCTGGTATAGACCAATTTCCTGTATTGGACAGTAGCTAATTCCACAAATAATCAAGACGTAAGGCAATACTCACACGAACAGACCAAGACACTGAAGTTTTTGTTACATGGCTTTTTTCAATGCAGTGTTCATCTCTTCATTTTTCTCAACAATTATTTGCTACTTAATGTTTGGCGTTTATAGCTAAAGTGCCTTGAAATCTTGAAATGTAGCATTTGTGTCATTTGTTTCTGAAAAATTTTCTTCGTAGCCAAATTTGGCTTTATAGTCCTATATCGCGTTATTCTGTTGAAATTTGAGATGCAATCGATAATATAACTGATATAATTAGAAGTCCACATGTTTTGGTCTTGCGATGTAAACTTCACTGGTTTATCACTGTTTGTTTCGGTAGAAATTTATAATTTTTGCAGGACAAAACTTACGCAGTTGCTACGCTATTGATAATTAGACAAGTCGGCAATCATAAGATTATGTTAAAGATACTAAACAGACAACCTTTTATAAGAAAAAGGTCACGTAGACTTCAGAAAGACGCTTGTGAATGCAATGATAAAACTTGCGACTATCCAGAGCTTTACAGTGATCAACGATCATGATAAATTCGGGATTTTATTTTGGTGGCCATAGTTTTGTGATCTCAATTTATTGGCTACTTTCAAGTAATAAATATTATCGAGTCAGTATACGTAAGGTGGAGTATACAGGATTATGATGCATTTCCACGCTTATTAATAAAAATATGTTGGATTTTAAAACGACCGAAACATAATTGTCCTGCATGGGCATTGGAATAGACGACCTGTACATAAGTCATAAATGATTTACTACTCAAGCTGAGAGCAATATCTGTACCAATTTTCTCTTTTGCGCTTAGTACAAAGTAGTTTTGCGTCTGCCGATTCGTTTTTGGGACTGTTTATTATCCTACTGTACGCGCAGTCAACACACAGTTCTTAATTTTACTCAATATAACTACTTCAATATAATTATTCCACATCACGGATAATCTTAAACATTTCAAGCTTTTACATTCTCAGCCAGCTACAGAAGAACCCCGACTTTCAACGTGTCACAACTAATTAACCCAAGTTCATATTTCCGTTATTCCACAAGCTCCTAGTATCAAATAACAATTATCTATTACTTATTTACATAAGTTCCGACAATATCCAGATATGTAATTAATTACCGCTAAGACGTGCATGTTAAGAAACTTGACAAAACTGATATATGTTATTGCAACTGTCAATACCATAAACTACAGTTCCAAGCATTTCATGCATTTCATACAAAGTTGCCAGAAAACTGAAGATTGTTTGAGTTTTTGTTGGTGAGACATTACAAAAATTAAGGTGTCTGATTGTGTAAACTGAACTCTTTGATGCCTCCAGAATAAAAAGAGTCGTGTACAAACTGTTTTAGAGTAAAAAATGGTTTTAAAAATTTTTTGATGAAATTACCACTTTTATGTACAAGGGTGGATCTAGGGTTTTTGTTGACAGGCTTAGAATAGTCTATTCTGAAGGTGATGATTGTACAAATGCAACATTTACAACCTCGAGAACAAATACAAAATTCAATCCTTTCCCCGCCTACTCTGTGCTATAAATAATTAGCGTGATGTAAAAAAAAGTACAAAAAAGATCGATGCAATCGATGTCTCGAAAGATGGTTAACTCAAATGACCCGCTCACTAACTTGAAGCTACGTTTCTTACTCTTCATGTCATTTTTAACTTTAGTGATAGTTTCTCAATAGCTTCATCTCAAACATCGCATGCTACACTTAATGGTTTGAGAATACGGTTATAAGAAAACGGGTGTAAAAATTTTTGATAAGGACTCTAGATCTTGCATTCAATAACGTCCATAGTTTACACAGTACACTACCTATAGTTATACTGTAAATTATGAAGGATATTCTCTCATGACGTTGGCTTCTCATACAATAAAAGCTAATTATACAGAAATTTGATGACGGAACAAGAACAAGTTTTTGCAGCTTTCCATTTAACTGTACACAACCAGAGAATTTAAAAAGTCTTTTCACGAGGAACATACTCTACTTATGCATAGTTCTAAATATTGTCTTTTGAACGAAACAATAAACGATCATTAACCCCAGGGGCCGGTTGCACGAAGCCTGGATAGCGTTGTCAATTGATAGCAAAAATCTCCAAACTTGTAAAAAAGGTGTTTATATTTTTCTTACGACAACGAAGTTTCGTATCTTCGAAACAAAATTTTCTTTCAGTGATTGTACAGTTATAACCTTATGCTTTTTGCTTTTTAAAAGGTTTTATAAAAGTTTAAAAAAATTTGCTATCCAATGAATAACGCTATACAGGCTTCGTGTAACCGGCCACAGAAATACAAGGAGACAAAACTCTGCTGCTTATACAACAAGTTTGTGTAAGATAAGATTTGATTGGATAAATTTCCTTATTTCGTAAACTAAGAACAGCTGCATCGTGCAGCTGTATTCGTGAAAGATTTGTAGACCAGAGGATAAAAAGTCCATTTACATCTTTTGTCGTATCTGCAACTTTAGTCGTGTATGTAGAGATAATTCAATCTATTTCATTTTTTCTCAAAATTTAACATTATTGTAATAAGCGGAAAAATTCATATGTTTCAGACATCATATAGTGTCAAAAATCCAAGAGGTCCTCAGATAATTATTTATCTGTTTTCCTTTTTCAGACTCGATGATCTAATTTCATCATTATAAATGAACGGATATTCTTTTCAAGCAAAACAGCGATGTTTTCCCTTTTCTAGATTTGTTCAAAATTGGTGTTTAAGTAGATTTTACGTTAAATGAACTTTAAAAGAAGACCTGTACTAAGTAAAATCTTATTCTACCAATGAAACAAACCATCTTCAGTCTAATTTAAAAATGTCTTTTTAGCAGGTTGTAATGCTTCGTTAACGAGCTACTTTGAGGGCAAATTGCTAAAACAAAGAACGTGAAGATGGAAGCATTAAGTTTTGTGCTAAAGTACATGAAAGGAGACAACAATCTTTATGAGAATGATGAAAAAAATAATAAAGAAAGTCATGGCTTGGAATCTCATAAAAGGAGACTTGCTACAAGTTTTGAAGTCCTTGAAGATCTTGGTGGAAAATTATTTGGTGTCACTGAAGCATGGGTGAAAATGCTAATAGAGAAAATGCTGTATATACATTCTCTCTCAACGTTCACACCTTACAAATTTGAGGTAATTATAACAACTGATACGGATTTTTAATCTCATCAAAAACAAGAAAAGGTTTGTGTTTGTAGAGGATAGTTGCAAGGAAAAATTCAAATACTATCATTCTTTGACAACACTTTGACAATTTTAACCAATTTTCTGTGAGTATAGCGTACAAGATTTTTGTACAGTATGACGGTGGCGTAGTCTAATATGCAAAATTATGTTACTTTTTGAGTTTGTTACGAAATTCTTATAAATACTCCTGGCACTGAGGCCTCAACCATTAGAAGATACCTAGGTTTATATTTCTCGGTAAAGGTATATGCAGTTTTGCTGTTAGCTCTAGAAAGTTCTTTGATATATTTTTGTGCACCGCCGAAAATGTTTCTAAGCCAATCAAAGTGTGCTATTACATCTAAAGTGTCCTTCACCAACAAATACGACAGATTAAACAGACTGGGCGTATCATGTCCATTTGATCACGTGAATCAGAACAATTGGCAGTTTTTCTAATTACCACAAAAGTTCAATTTCTACGTAAGATACCATTATTGGGCAATTTTGGTGGCTATGCCATTGTTTTTGTTTCGTACAGGCAGATTCCTAAAGTAATTGCAAACTTTGAAATATGATCTCTAATTTTCAAAATTAGGAGATTTGCAGCAAGACATTGCATAAAAAAGTGTACATTGCTACATATTTTAAGCCTCCCAATGCTGCCATTGCAGACTTGATAATTTTGCTGTATTGAAGCCTCATACATGACAAATAACCGAGGCTGTAGTCTTGCTTTTGCAAGCGAATGAATTGTTAAATAAAAAGTTATGATTTTTATATTGCCCAGGTGCTCGCCTCATACTCATTTCTGACAAATCAAGCAAGAATTTAAACTAGGTTAACAATGTTTTATTTAGATGAAACTTTGCGTCTCATTAACTGATGTGAAACGAAGAATTATCCCGAAAGTGACCGAAAATATTTTCTTTGTTGCACTGAATACAGAACGACTATGTACATTTGATCATAAAACAGATCAATCATTGAAACACATTGAAATTATACCTTCTGTGAACAACCAACGGAATGAATTCTTAAACCATAGGAACGGTTTAATAAGTTATTTGGATGGACAAGAAAAGCTGCAGAGTATAAACGGAATATGCTTGACACCAGACAACATAAAAAAGACGAGAGAAAAATGGCACCACTTGTTGCAATCACACAAACTGGATACGAGCAAACATGAAAACTACCATCTGCGTCAGTTTACTCATAGCTGTTTCACAAACATGCCTTGTTATGATCATACAAGCCAAAACACAGTGATTAAAACATCCACTGAGTTCAAAAGATTTCTTAACGACATCCAACACCAGTTTCAATCCCAGTGCTCAGGTTCGATGGACGATGCAACCCTTGGCACTAGGCTACTGTTCAATTTTTTGAAAGAAACCAACCGGACATATGCAGGTTTACGTTTAAATAAATCGGGCACATCAGTGAAGATCGTTCACTATGGTATAGATGAATATCCTGAACTAAGAACAACGGAAGAAAAGCTAATAGAACCAGCGATATCGGGGTCGTTTTTGAATTTCAGTACAAAGGAAAAAGTTGAATTTTTCCGTTTAGCTTCTTTTCTAAAAACACTGGAGAAAATTGGCATCCATTCTCATACATCAGATGAAGACGTTGAAAGAAAATTAGAGAATTACACAAATACTGGAACTCATTTCCAATATGGTGGAGAAATAATGAACATAAAAACCATTCTTGCAGAAAAAGAGAACAGACTTCTACACGATGAAAAAATCCTTGTCACATACAAAGGAATTTCTCTTGCTTTCGATACTAAAATAGAACTCAAAATAGACGAAGAAGCTGCATTTCTAACTGAAAAATACAACATAAATAACTTTGATGAACATGAAAACAAAAAGTCTTCAACAAAAGAAAACAGAAAAGAGGTGCAGCTATTTTTTGAAAGAATACTACAGAGCAAAGGACAAATTCTCATGACAGGGTATGCTATCGCTGGATTTGGTGATCTTGTAAATTTTCAAATGTTGTATAAAACAATTATTACAAAACACCCAGAACTCAAACAACGAATCAATGCGTACGCACATTTTTACCGCTATTCAATCGCCAACACAACATTAAACAAGTTACTCGACAAGGACATCAAAGTCATAGCACACAATAATGCCAATCGTCAATGGGATCCTAACTATAGCTATAAATTGGTGTCAGAAATAGCTAAAACTCACCAGCCAGAGTTTGAAATTCAGTATAATGTTGGCTCAGTATTTAAGACTGTTGCAGAAGAAAGAAACGTTCTTAGAGTTGGCGAGATCGGAGGAATGGCCGGGGTAAGCTTAGTTGATGATGCATACTTCACTGGTTTATCACGTGGAGGAATAGGATTTGGCATTCCTACAGCTAGTGTGGATGTCAACCAATCAGAGATCAAAGAAATTATATCAGGTATTCTTTATAATGTCCTTGGTCAAAAACCTTCATGTAATACGTCATTCGCAGAAATAATCAAAGAAAGATTTGCTCTTATGATGGCACGTGAAAATTCCCATGTGATCAATCAGCGAAAATTCAACGATAATTGTGACGTTAAAGATGGGCAAAACTTTAGTGCGGGCAAGCGGCTACTTGCCAAAATTCTCAAGGCAATGACAGAACAATCAGACGTCGATAAACCAATAATTCTTGCAACCAGTAACATAGAAGCTCTGTCAAAACAAGCAAGTGAAGTGGGCGTCAAACTGACTTCAAAACAAGCTTTTATTTTGAATGGCAGCGAGTACAAACAGTTCCTCATAAGAACAAAGTCAGGTAGGGAGGCATTTGTTGTTCAGGGTTTTTTTGAAAACACGCTCGTGAATGCTATCATGAAACATGCGACTATCCCAGTGGTTTACTCTGGTGAAGGATCGATGAACGAAGGCTTGTCATTTGGTGGCAAAGGTTTTATGATTCCATTTTATGACTTCCAAGTTAGCACTCTTATTGAGTCTGGAGGTATCGCCAGTAAACAGAGTTTTGATCCATTTCTAATGTTCATCGATGGAAATGATGATGGATTTCAAAACGACCCTGACAAAGTCGTCCGTCTGAAACTTTGCATCAACAAGCTATATATCAACTGTGAACAATATGACTTACTTAAGCTTAGAGTTGGTGAGCAATATCCTCAGATGTACCTAGTAACCGTTAAGACAGACAGAGAAATGCATATTAAAAAACTTGACAATACAGAAGTAGACTTTCAAGTTGAAAACAGCAGCATGCATGACTGGAATCGAAAAAAAACATTTTTGTCTACTCAGGCTACCCTTTACAAACTTGACGACTGGGCAAAAGAATGGATGAAACTTATTTACGATCGCAACGCAATAGATTTGGACCTCAGCAAGCTAGGTCAACAAACGCTAGCTATGCTTCGAAAAGAAAATGCACAATTGTCCAATTGGTTTGATCTACTCGACGTTGAAAGAAAGTAAAACTTTTGGGCTTGCTCGCGTAATCATTCGACTTTCAAAAAGAAGGCTTTTTATAAATTACAGCAACTTTAAAACGACGTACAAGAAAAAGCCGTATTGTATAGATTACATGTGATCCAATCAATCTTATTTATTTTTATTTTAAGTAATTGACCACGAATGCCGTCAAAATTAGCGATTCAATACAATACAAACTTATTTTATTTTTTCACAATATAAAATAAGTAAACAATAATTTTTATTTACAATATGAACTATTTAAACTATTCTATTTATTATCATTTATTCAGAGTATAAGCAATACTACTCATTAATTATAACCTGTTCATCACTGGCAATACATCTGTAACATATTTTGATCCATTTTTTATATATTATTTGATATCTAACAATGCATGTATTCACCAATATTATTTCATATATTCTTGTAAGGACCTTACTGCCTTATTTTTATTATAGTATTATCTACTTGTTATTATAGTACTGGTTCCAATCTACAAAAAGAAATTGTTAATTGATTATATAATTCTATGATCTTATTTAGGCATTTGTAAATTAATTGCTTCTCTGATAATCATGCCGTAGGATTACATTACAAATTGTCCAGCAACAAAGGTTCCACTCAACACAAACATGGGTAAATGGTCCACAAAATCTAGTATGACGTTACATCAAATTTATTTCACTAACTTAATGATTTCTCAAAAATGGTAATTATCGACACAGGCTCCTTGAATGGTGTTGCTCTCATGAATGCTAGTGAAACACAACAATTGAAGTAAAATTTTGTTCATCATGCTTTATATAGATATCTACATCATTTCAAGGGCGTCGGTCGATTTTGAAAATTAAAACAATGTAACTTATTGCGAGTAGTTAATAGAATTGAGCTCTGACAAAGCAATTTTCACATATAGTGTTGTTTGAAAGCTTTACCTTCACTCTGACCCTTGAAAAAATATTATCATAACGAGATTTGTTCATGGAGAAAATCGCCTTTATCATCAAATTTTTAAAACGTTTTTGGGATGCTAAAGTCTCTTTGCTAAGCTTGAAAAAGCCTTTGTGGAATGGCAATGGGCCCCTAAAGGGATATAAAAATGGTTCACTTATAACACACACTCATCTAACATAAAATGGGACTAACATTAAAAATCTGTTTAATTCCCGTATATGTAAAATGTAGCACTTAGTAAGAAAACAGCCAAAGAAATTTAAAGCAGGTTAACTAAGCATAAAAGAATTATTTAGACACAATAGAAGGCTCAGGAATGTGTTCAGTAGTGGACTAAATTATTACGTTTCATTGAAAAATTAGTTACTTTTTTTACGACTTCTGTCTGAAGTCAGAACAAGTGGTGATGGAACATTGATAATAGAGAGTTTACGTTTTTCGCGACGGCGACGTCTTGTGTTTCCCAACAACCTTTTTTTCTCGTCTTCATAAACTGTAATGTTAATGATCATTCAACGTTCATCAATATGCAATTTTGTTTTCCTTTCACATTAGCACAAAGTCTCGAATGCTCAACACTTTCGTCTGTTTGGATCTTAAAATCTTGAAGTACATTTAATTTATAATTTTCCACAACTTTTCAGGTTGATTCTCGCACCATTTTCTTTCTAAAGATATTTGTTATTTGCACTATTGCTCCCAATGTAATGCAATAGCAATTCTACCATGTCTCCAAACCTTATACAGTTATAATGTTGTTGCACCAGTTGTGGGCATTTTGACAGAAGCTACTATCTCATCTCGATCTTAACCATATATCCTACATTTTTATCAGTTTCTTCGTTATCTAACATATTTCTGATATACTTTGTTCTTATTGCCTGTTTCTAAGCTGTCATTATCATACTCTCTGTCTCCTAAAGCCATTCTTACTTAACCAGTCCTAAGATTTCATTCCCCTCTTCTTCCCGAGAAAAGTCAGCTAATACAGAACAGCGAGGTTTCTTAGCCCAAGATGCAATATTATGTAGATACAAGCCACAGTGGTAAGCATCCACATAGTAGCTAACACTAACTATTAATAATAATGCTTTTACCACAGTCTGGCATACGCAACTCCGTAGGTAGGGCATGATCAAGAGCTGGTATGTATCATATAAGTTGTTCGATAACTATTGCATTTCCTCTTAGACTATCATAAGGGTCTGTTCCTCAAATACAGCCTTTTAAGATGAGCTATGCACCAAGTCCAACAGCCATGTTAAGTTAATGTGGTATATTTTTTGATCTTAGACTAGGAAATTTCTTCGAAAATATACAAAAATCCAGGAATGATTTAACCAGTTATTGCAGAAGACACCAAGGAAGTCAGGAAGGCTTTACTAGTCCTCGAGATTACTGAAAAAGTTTATTGCCAACCTCACAGAAATGTTGATGATCAATAATGGTCATCTAAAGAAAACATCTTCTGAAGATGAACACTTCTTTGGAAATCCCCAAGAGGAGTTCCACAACCTGTACTTTAAGTGTTACGAAATTTCTTATCTCACAATTCTCCAGGTACAAATGAAACTACAAAACAGCATGTATATTCATACAAGTTTCTTCAAAGATTATCATAAACATGCCATGATCGACAGTGTTAACAGCTTATTACTTATAGCTTACGATAAAGAAAGATGGGCTTCATCAGTCGCACAGCCATTATAAGGGCTATAAAAAGCAACGTCCGTTAAGTGTGCACGGGAAACAACTGTGAATAATTTTGCACTAAAAACATTTTTAGATTTAAAAATGTTATGTGCTCTGTCAATTAATCGTAAAGCTGCTCAGGAGGTACTTGTTCTATAATCTCGTTTGTTCTAAACCGATTGATTTAGTTTTTCACTTTTCTAAATTGCAAGACCATATCTATTCCGGAGTGATCGAACATTACAAATTGTCAATTACAGTTGCAGTGGTTTAAAGTAACTCTTATCCCATTGCATTTGGTCATTTTAGTTCTTTCAATGCACACTCATCAGATAAAAATAAAAGTGCAAAATTGGATAAATATAGAGTTGAATATTATGATATTAAAATACTTATGGGTTTAGCTCCTGCGATAACATAATATACAACGCAATATTACGTTGAAATGTCTCTCGACTACTTTTAGCTAATTGCAGCATTTTAGTTTATCTGTAATTTTATATTTCCTGATTGGCCGAAAAACAGTCAAAATTTTTGCAGCAGGCTTTAAAAGTCATTCGTTTACATTTATCTGTCTGCAGTCAAAACTATACTATCTTATACTAACATGCTGTAGTATTATTCTCGATTTTTAGTTAACTTTTCAAATGGCGGTTGCCAAGTTACTTTCTAATGTTGCCTATTACATTTCCAAATATGGAATATTCGATATGAACTTGTCAATTTAATTCAAAAGTTGTGTACTTGAGTACTGAAGTTGTGAACTAAAGTTGCGAAGTATTAGCAAATGCGAAAGGTCTTTGTACACTGTACACATTTGGCAATGAATCCGTTCAGTAAGCAAGGAAAAGCTTTAGCAATTCCATTCCATTTGACGGCCCTCTAAGAGTGTTATATTGGGACACGCCCTTTACATTATGTAATAAATTTACTGCAAATGTGGCACTAGAAGAGTATCGTTAGATTTTAAATGCAGGAGTACTCTGCATACTGTGCCCTCGACATCTTTTGCCAATACTAACAGCGACAGACGACTCATCAAGGAAATGCATTCGACTGCAATCAATCAAAAAAAAAATTTGCTACATAAGCTTCTAACTTCTCCATAACATCCGGCCTTTCTGTCTCACGAGGAGTTTGACTTATTATCTCGTAAGTGCAACCAAGATCTTTATTCAAAATACTACTAATGGATGACCTGCTAGGTTTGTTTGCTTGAAGGCAAACTTTGTAATTTTCTAGGTGCTGCTGAATCTCTTTTTCGTAAATAGATGGTATATTAATTTTTAGATACTCAGTGTATGCAATAATGTCATCTGTACGCGTGGTTCGAACATCACGTTCGCTCTGGCGAGGTGCAATAGAACCAGTGTTTACTCATTGATCTATTATATTTGATATAGTCTTATATGGTAAGTTTTGGTGATTTGACATGATTGTAAAACGCTTGTTATTTAACCACATTTCAAGTATTTCATTTCTTACTTCTATTGGTAAAGCTTTTCCTTGATTGCTGAACGGATTCATTTCCAAATGTCTACGGGGTAGAAAGACCTTTCGCGTTTGCAACATGCAAACTTGGCAACCGCCATTTGAACAGTTAGCTCAAATCGACAATAAACTTAATGGTTGAAAGCATTCTATACCACAATTACCCAAAGCAAATTCAGAAAATTCTTTTAGTTATTAGGTCAAGGATAGGTTTGAACAGTTCCTATCGATTCAATAGGCCGACGCCAAACAACAGAAATCTTTTGGATTTGCTGGAAAGTCTGCGTATAATTTGGCTTTGTTTTAGATTGTAATCACATCTTCACTTTTGACAGTACTTGTAATTCCACCTTTTTAATGGATAATGTTTTATTTCCACAAGTAATCAGTTCAGGTTTTGGAATGGCACATCCAACATACATCGACAAGCAAGAAAATTGTTTCTTGGAATTACTCTAAAGCTGTTGTGTTTAGCATGAGTGAATGAATGAATGAAAATTGCACGAAAGTCAGCAAAATAACTGGGAAGTATAGAATTCAAACATATCCTCATTTGCGCGTTGCTGAAAAACTTATTTGACTTCTGAAGTTTTTGCTCAAACCACTTTAATATTTGTACTTATTCATGCATGTTTATAATAATGAATAGATTGCTTAGACGATACGTACATTATAATGTAACAATTGCCAATCGGATGAAAAATATTGCTTTATAAATAATTATAGTGTTTCTCAAAAAATCAGCCTTCCATTCTTATATACTTTGCATTCTGATTCACAAAGAAATACTGATAATTTAGGCAAATCGGACAACTATTGTGCAACAGTTGTAGATGAATCAATGTTGAATCAAAGCAAAAGTGGTACAACAATGTTACGATTTTAGTGCATCTTTGCATATCCATTCTCGAAAAAAAACAGTAAAAAATAAGCAGTCAGCATTTAAATCATGCCGTTAATAGTACAAAATATTCCGATATCCGGAATGGAATAGATATCGCTAACTTACCTCGCTCAATCACCAAATATTCTTATAAAAGGATTGTCACTCCGCTGTGTACTGTGACGACTGTTCTGTATCGATTGCAACAGACGTTTTTATGTTGTATTTAATTGGTGCTAATGAAATGCCAAAATAAATGACAAAGATGACTTTCTTTATTGTTGGCGAGATTTAAAAGCGTCAACTTTTTCTTTCTTTTGCGACAATATTATGTTTCTAAAGAAAACTATACAAAGAGCAAAACATTCGAGATCACACTTTTCGATATCCTCTTAACTGGCAGTCACAACATAGCTTTGGTTGTTTTTCATCAAAAGTGTTATTGATAAAAATTAAAGCTTTTAGGTGGGTGTTGTAAATCATCCATGCTTGATTGTTTGTGTATTTTCCATAAATTA